GTATACACCACTAGACCCAGACGGCTTTCACATCACAGTAACTACTAGAGGCGGCGACAGCATTTAAGGGACACCGAAGTACTAAGGTTACACACAAATATTCCGCCAATCATATTTGAATATCAATATATCGAGCAGCCATTGGATAAAACTGTCATTTGGCGGGAAAACATTTTAAATACCCGCGATCTGACGATTTCATGGCACGAAGCCAGTCATTTTGTAATGCGCAACAAAATAAGCCCCCAAAAGAAGCCCAGACGACGCTACTTACATGCGACAAAGCGTGCAATGCTTTTGAAGATGCGGGACGCGTCGACTCGGGAGCTCGAAGCCATGACTGGAATACCCAGAAGCAACTTGTCGCGGTGGGGGCAGCAGGCGGACCTTCTCATGAGCTTTGACGGCAACAAAAAGCGTTTCTACTTGGAAGGGGCAGGACGACCTGTCGAGCTGCCCTGCGAAGACGGGCTTGAGATCCTAATGCACAAGCTCCGCGACGCTGAACGCGCCGTCACATGTACGCACCTTATCAACTACATCAAGCGACACCATAAGGAATGACTTGCTGAGTACCACGCATCACGACGAAGTGGATACAAGTCGCTTCTCAGGCTCCTTCAACGGTTCTGCGCTCGACACGGGTTCACCCGCCAGAAGCCTGCCAAGGCAAAGAAGTCACAAGTTGAGCTCGCAGCCACCCGCTCTGCCTTTGCATTGGATTTCCACAAGGCGTTCTGTGGGTACGGTGACGACGTCATCGTAGACGAGACCGGCATGCACTATGACATGCCACCGCATGCCATTTGGTCTGTACGTGGGACACCTGCCAAGATTTCAAGCGGTGAGAAGCACTCATACCGCATGACTGCCGTTCTTGGGGCTCGCGCGAACGGAAACAAGCTTCCCATTCTCTTTATCATGCGGGGAGAGCCAGGTGGTCTGATCGAGAGGAACGAGTTTGATTCGTTTCCTATCGGTCACTACTACGCCGTGCAAGACAGCGCCTGGATGGACGAGCGCGTTTGGGCCTTCTACCTACGCAACGTATTGAAGCCTCGTGTACAAAAGCCGACGGTATTGTTGATGGACAACTTCGACCCTCACGTCAGCAAACAAGGCCTTCGAATTGCCAGCGAAGAGTGTGGCTGTGATCCCTCCGAATGCAACGAGTGTCGTTCAGCCACTAGATGTTGGAGTCATGGCTCCATTTAAACGGCACTTGCGCGACTTGTGGCTCGAAGAAGAGTTGATTGAAGGTGAGGATAGTGATGATGTAGATCTTATGACTGTCACTGCGCTATTCCGCCGGATGAAATTCGTAGTAGCTTCATTAAAGCCATTCCAAAACATCAATAAATGTAGAAAATATTGAGTTTTCACAATTTGGTTGATAAAAAATAAATGTGACCTAAACAAAGAAAAAGTCCGACGCCCCCGGGAATTGAACCCGGGGCTCACTCTAGACACACAACGTGTTTAACCACTGCGCTATTGCGTCAGACGCTTATCTTTCTAAGTCTTTCATCAATCCAATCAATTTAAAATGTTGAAGTGCTTGAAACTCTTGAAGCTGCTCCATGGTTGGCTGCATTTTCCATCGAATTTCGAAGTAAGTTGACCAATCATATATCGATTTCATGAAAACTCGAAGTAGTAGGTGTCCCTTAAATTCTGTCGCCGCCTGTACTACTTACTAACAACATGGTGATAATGCAAATCATGGTAAACAATATCATTACGCATCATACACATGTAAGAACATAAATGAAAGTCGACGTGGGCAAGCCGTGGGCAGGACGTAGCGCGTACATCTGGTCGGCGGTGCGCACGGACAGTGGGAGTGGGCAGGGACGGGCTGGATGTGTGGCGGATGTTGTACATGGGCGTGGATCGGTGGGGTCG